CCAGGACGAGCACCTCCAGGACCCGTGGCTCCAGCACCCCTAGCAGCAGGAGAACTACCAGCACTAGCAGCAACACCAGCTCCAGCAGCACGACTCCAACGCCGAGCAAACCACTCGCGCAGCTCCTGTGGAGAGGGTAGCTCCCGCCGAGGCGAAGCACCCGAAGGACCTCCAGGCTCCGCACCCCCAGGCTCCGCACCCCCAGACTCAGCAACCCCAGGCTCAGCACCCCCAGACCCAGCACCCCCAGTCCCAGCACCCCCAGTCTCCGCACGCTCAGGCTCAGCACCCCCAGACCCGGCACCCGCAGGCGCAGCACCTCGAGCAGCACCAGAGTCAACAGCTACCTCGACAGGCTCGACTACGTCTACTTGAGACACACCCGAGGGGGCAGGACCCTGAGGGGGGAGGGGGTCTACCGGGGGGGGACCTGGCACGAGGAAGAGCGGTGGGGGGGGGAGGGGGGCAGCGTGGTAGGGGAAGAGACGGTAGTACGGAATCGACTCGTTAAACGTGACGTGCTGGGAGGACAGAACACGGTGCGAGGTGGGGTGGTAAAACTGCCAACCAGGCGCGTCAGGGCGGAAGCCAAGGAAGACGCAAGGAACAGCACGGGAGGACAGCTTGTCCGCAGACAAGTCCCGGACGAACGCCCGAGATCTCCAGACACGGAACGCAGACGCATCGCCAACCTTCCCCGTCCACCGAAGGGTGGGGGAGGTCTCCGGCAAGGAGACCCGGGGCTGAAGGTTGATCTGCTGCGCCGCGTACTGAACCGCGAACGGCCACAGAAAATGGGGAGCAGCCGCATGGATCATGGACTTACGAGCGACGTCCATGACCATGCCAATGCGGCGCTCAGCAATCCCATTTTGCTGTGAAGAGGCCGGAAGCGTGAACGTCTGGCGGATGCCCCTCGCACAGCAGAAGGCTCGCAGAAGGTCGGAGGAAAACTCTCCACCTCTGTCGAAGTGCAGACGCAGAACAGGAAAGTCCGAGCCAAAACTCCTCCTGTGCTGGAGACGAGCAGCGCGGATCCAGACGATCAACACCCCAGTGACCTCACCCTTGGTGCGCAAGGGGAAGACTGCGGTGTAACGCGAGTAGTCGTCAACCACCAAGAGGAAGTAACGCTCGTGACCCTGTCCACGTACGCGGGCTGGGCCCCACACGTCCATGTGAAGAGTCTGCAGCGGAGCCTCTGTCGGAGGAAACTCAGAAGAGTGAGGAGCGGCGCGCTGCCGCCCCTCGACGCAGGGAACGCAGGTGGGGGCAGGCCCCGGAGGAAGGGGAGGGAGGGACCGGGGGAGACCAGAGACAAGGTAACGGGAGGCCATGCCTCGGAGACGAGGCAGGGAGGGGTGACCAAGGCGGTGGTGCCAGAGGAGAGTCTGGTGAGACAGGAGACGATACGAGCAGGGGGCAGACTCAAGACCAGACCTGGACGCTGCAGCAAACACCTGACGCGACGCAGCCACCTGACCAGACGTAGCAACCGGAAGAGACTCAGTAGTCAGTGTGTACAGGCTCGACCCCAGCTGTCGGGTAAACGTGGCCAAGTGTCGGCCCGTCCGAGCACACGTACAGTGGGTCACTCGCTGACTCGCAGGTGTGAACTGGTCAACCCCTCCATCCTGTAGGTCAGCACCACTCACCAGGTTCGTAGAGAACGAGGGGAGGTAAAGACCCGACAGGGTGCCAGAAGGGGCAGCCGGACACGGTAAGACAGTGGAGAAGTGGGCAAGGACAAGGCCCCCAGAGGGGTCTGCCAGTGAGACTGCAACCGGCCGACGAAGCAGCGTGAGTGTGGTGCGGTCTCGAAAGAAGGAGCGGGAAGCACCCGAGTCGAGGGTGAAAGTGTGCAAGGCCTGAGCCGACGTGGTACCTGAGAGAGCAGACTCACCAGCACCTGGGGTAGCAGACTCACTAGCACCTAGAGCAGCAGCCTCACCAGCACCTAGAGCAGCAGCCTCACCAGCACCTAGAGCAGCAGCCTCAATGCCCGGGTCAGGCGGAACACACAGGTAACAGTCACCCTCATCACTAGTAGACACAACATACATGGCAGCAAGAATAGCATCATAGTCCAGATCAAAGATAGCAAACCCCGACCTAAGCAGCTCGCCCCAGCGGGGGATATCAGTGGCGTCAGGGAACTGGAGACGCCAGGCGTCCGTCAAGCGGCCGAAGCAGCGCTGGGTGGTGTGCGGACCACCGCACGGCTCACCAGTGCGGTCCCCGGTACGCAGGACGTAGGCACAAGGACCAGCACCCCCACCCCGCTGACGCGCAGCGTACCACTCACGAAGCTGCTGGGGGGGCGGGGTCTCGCGAGTGCGCTGCTGCTGCTGGCGCTGACCACCACCAAAGCCACCCCGCTGCGCAGAGCCACCCCGACCCGCTCCACCGCTGCCGCCGCCACCTCCACCGCCGCCGCTACCTCCTCCTCCCCCGCTCCCACTGCCACCGCCGCCGCCGCCTCCGCCTCCACCGCCGCCACCGAAGCCCCCACCCCCGCCACCACTCCCACCGCCACCCCCACCCCCTCCGCCGCCTCCACCACCACCTCCACCGCCCCCGCCAGCTCCTCCAGCGCCCTTGCCCCCCTTGCCCTTGCCGGTGCGGCGTCTCCCGCCAGGGGCAGACGCAACGCCGACCGACTCGGTGCCAACGAAGTCGACGGCAGCAGCAGAGGCAACAGAGGGCAAAAGGGGGGAGGGGGAGCACCCCTCAAAGAAGGGGGAACGCGGGTCACCACGAGAGGCTCCTACAGCGACTATACTCTTCTCAGCTGCCAGGAGGCGCTCCTCGAGGAGGTCAACGGTGAGTGTGGTGGGGCAAACAGAGAGGAAGTGGTCCCTGACCGAGCGAAGGGAGTCAGGGAGCCGGGTGACTAGGTAGTAGAGGGTGATGTACATGGGGGGGGGGTTCTTGGCGCAGAACTCAGCAGGAAGCGCAGCGCGGTAGCGGGCGTCACTAGTGCGAAGGTGCGTGATGAGGTCAGCGACTATGGGAAAGGCGGCTTGGTCAGGGAACAGGTACGGCAGCATGAGGCGGCTAAGAGCAGCAGTGGCAGGGGAAGAGTGGCGTGCAATGACAGCGTCGTACAAGGTCTTAGCACTCTTGTACTGACAGCCCGACCCTCAGCATCAAAGACGAGGACGCTAGGGGTAGCCATGACAGCAGTAGCAGCAGGCTAGGGGCTGTAGCAGCAGGGTAGGGGCAGTAGCAGCAGGCTAGGAGCAGTGCAGTCGTAGAGGCGCGGCTCGGCGGTGCTCTTACCAGGACGGGTGGGTAGAGTGCCGTAAGTAGCGGGGCAGGGCCGAGGCGCGCCGGCAGGGACAGGGCCGCGACAGCTGCAGCTGCTCCTGCTGTAGGCTGCGGCGGCCTCGGTAGCAGCGTGGGGGGCAGCTGTCACTGCAGCGGCGCCGGCTGCTCCAGGCGGTGATGGCGGCGGCCGCGACTCCGGCAGCTGCGGCGGCGGCTGCTGCTGTCAGCGGCGGCGGCGGCTGCTGCTGTCACTGCACCGGCGGCAGCGGCTCCTGCTGTCGGCGGCGGCGACGGCTGCTGCAGGCGGCGGCTGCTGCTGTTCTCGGAGGAGCCGAGAAGGGGCCGCTAGGGGCGGCGAAGGGGCCACGAAGGGCCGTGGAGGGGCCGCGAAGGGCAGTGACGGGGCCGAGACGGGACCGTGAGGGGCCGCGAAGGGCGGCGACGGGGCCATGAGGGGCCGCGAAGGGCGGCGACGGGGCCGAGAGGGGGCCGCGAGGGCGGCGACGAGGCCGTGAGGGGCCGCGAAGGGCGGCGACGGGGTCGTGAGGGGCCGCGAAGAGCGGCGACGGGGCCGTGAGGGGCCGCAAAGGGCGGCGACGGGGCCGAGAAGGGTGGCGACGGGGCCGCGAAGGGCGGCGAGGGGGCCGCGAAGGGGCCGCGAGGGGCCACGAAGGGGCCGCGAGGGGCCGGAAGGGGCCACGAAGGGCCGTGAGAGGGGGGGGGGCGCGAGGGGCCGCGAAGGGGCCGCGAGGGGCCGTGGGAGGGGCCTCTACGGGGCCGTAAGAAAGCGCGACGGGCCGCTAAGGGCAGGGGACGCGACGGGAGGGTAGGAACACGGGGCGCGACTCGGGCAGGGGCGGAGCGCGCTCCGGGCAGGAAAAAAAAAATCGATTTTCCGGTGGGCCCTAGGAAACGTTCCCACTAGGGAACCTGCTCTATACCATGTGAAAGAACAAGGAATGAATGAACTAGAAATGAGATGGATACAAATGTGAAACCCTAGAGTGTTGTACCCCTTAGTGTCTACCCCACTGTAGCCTACAGTGACTAAGTAATATAAGTCTGACAGGGGACGCGGCAGGAGGGACGGCGGAAAGGAACATATCTGATAGAAAGGCATATCTGATTGAAAGACATATCTGATAGAAATCCATATCTGATAGAAAGGCATATCTGGTAGAAAGGGCGTTGAGGACAATCAAGAGACGACATACAATCAAGAGCTAATGAACTTAGGCTGTGTGCGGAAACTGAGTGTTGATGTGTGTGTTCTAACTTCAGGTGGCTGGCACTCACTGGCATCACGCGTGGCGAATTCGATGGCGCGTGATGTGCTTTGAAAAGAACCAAGTGCGAAGATGCGTGGGGATTTGAGAAGAGAGCACCAAAAGGAGGGTGGGAGTGGGAATGGAGGGTCCATGGGAAGGGTTTATCGCGGTCATATACTTCTTTGTCAATTGCAAGCTTAACAGAATGCTCTCGATTGATTCGCTGCTGGTCTTGTAACTGTTGTTGCAGCTGCTACAGATGCTGATGCGTTAGCTACTGGTTTGGTGCTACGTTAGCTACTGATTTTTTGTTGTGTCAACTACGGATTTTGCTGCTGCTGGTGCCCCGGTTGTCGTCAAAATTGAACATCCTTGTGATGCAATTTTATACCTCGAGATATTGCTGCTGTAGCGGGAGGGGTGGTGGCTGTAGCGATAGTAGTGGCAATCGCAAAAGTAAATATGGCAGATGGTTTGGGAGGGTACAGAGATGTGGCAGGAAGGGAGGCGGCCGCTATCGCAGGTGGGGAGGCGGCGGCCGACGAAGGTGGGGAGGGGGCGGCCGGCGCAGGTGCGGAGGCGGCTGCCGCCGTAGGTGCAGCAGGTGCGAAGGCGGCCGCTGCCGTAGGTGCGAAGGCGGCCGCTGCCGTAGGTGCGGAGGCGGCCGCTCCAGGTGCCGCAGATTGTGACAAGACTCTGCAAGGAGTCTGCAATGTAGTCTTCATTAGTCCATCATCAAGTTACATGGCATAGTATATAAGTTACGAAAGTACAAGCACAGTTCGCAGAACAAGCTAACTAAACATCTACTCGTATACGGGGAGGGACGGGCGGGAACTTAAAATGAGATGGAAGAAATGAGACTAGGTGGCAGGTCTGTGGACCCGTCGATGGATAAGAGGGGAATGCCTCCTTATTGCATTCCCCCTTTCCGAATCTTGTCACAATCATTAAATTTAAAAATATATTTCTAAATTGTTCATATTGTGACAAGACTCTGCAAGGAGTCTGCAATGTTGTCGTCATTAGGTTAAACGAAACATTATGGTAGTGGGCCGCATAACGAGCCGTATTGCTTTGCCGAGTCGGGTCTTGCAGGAGCCGAGATGCGCGAATTAACTCCGAGTCGAGTTGGGTGATGTACATCTCTTTCGCACCGTCGCTGCGCCATCGCCCGAGAGCCTTGAAGAGGCGATTGGGAACACTGGCATCAACAGCGATCGTGGCTGCTATTTTATGAAAAGAGTGGGTTCCGAGGGTGGCAGGGTCCAGGCCAACACAAACAAATGCCTCGCGACACCAATTCCGCACAGTCGTGTAGGAGGGAGAGGCGTCCGACGGCGACGCGCCCGAGCCAGTTAGAAAGACGCAAATGAGAGAGCCAACGGATGCACGGGATAATCCCGCAAGGAATATGAATTCTTTAACGCGTGCAACAGGGCAATGGCGAGCGTCAGACACAGCCACGGGAACCCATGCGCCGGCGCCCCTTTGATCGGTCTTGGAGCGTGGGATGAGTAGTCACATGCAGTCAGAGTCAAACTCTATTTGGTGCCATTGAAGTGCAACAAGGTTGGAGAAGCGCAGAAACGTCGAGAACATAAGAAGTGGAATAAGCCCTTTTGAAAGGTGGCAGGATCTCATGAGGAGAAATAGGCATCGCACATGTCGTATATCTTGGATGGTGGCACCGGATCTTTCGCTCGGTGGGAACCCAAACATGTGCGCTGTGCGTAGTCCTTAACCTGTGAGGAGAGTGGTCCCTTGATAGGGGACGGGGCACCCATTAGCCAGTGAGCGCAAGAGATGGCGGAACAGATGGAACGAATGGCTGACAACGTCGCACCCGTCCGGATTGAGTGTAGGAGGAAGAGGGCCACAGTGAGATCACTGGCAGGAAGCGGTTGGAGCGAGTTTTTGGAGCAAAAGGATTAATATTGCCTCCAATACAGCTCGTACGTGCGGATTGTGGATTGGGCACGAAGGTCCACAGTGAGTGTGAGCAGGTAGAGAAGAAGCCTACAAAGATTTGATCCTGCCACGCATGAATTATTAATCAAAGAGAAACATCCATGCGAAGAACAATGAGGGGCGGATTAGGGAGCCCGGTTCCACCAAACGCACGCACATCACTACCGAGTGCAAGGCAAGAAGCACCTAGCGGAAGCGCAATATGATCTAGTATAAACGAGGCTCACGAAGTACCGTCCGGGTATAGAATGGGCCACCAAAAGGCACTAGGCCAACGGGGGACAAGGAGCGTTAACCTAGCGCGCGAACGTCGTGCGTGTGCGATGATCGCCGGGATCAACGAAGGTAGGGGGAATGCGTATGCATTCTCAGGGCGCCAACTAATAGAGAATGCATCTTGCGCTACTGCCCTGGGATGGAAGGTTGACGTGCAAAAACTGGGCAAGTGGTGGTTGGTGGACGTCGCGAAAAGGTCGATTGTATGGGGTCCCCAATGTCAATCGACAAGTCGAAACCAAGGAGTAAGAAGCGAGTAGTCATCGTAATGTATGACCTTGGACAGGTCGTCAGCCTTGGTATTGAGCTCACGAGGAATCCATTGAACCGTCAGGCGGATGTGGTAGCTCACACATAGTTGAATGATGGCTCGGCAGACAAGGGTAATCTCGAGACGACAAGAGCCCCCTTTTTGCAGGATGTAGTAGGCAGCTTGGCTGTCGCCGGTAGGACATGTCCTCCTCGGATGCACGGGGCAAACGAGGTGAGTGCCCAAAGGATGCCCGTTATTTCGCGGAGCGTGCTAGAGGTAGTGGACAAGGCGTGGGGCATCGAGGCGGAAAGCGGTTGTGAATTAGTTTTTAGATCGGAAAATATGGCTCCCCAGGAAATGTCAATCGCGTCGGCGTAGATAACCGCGTCATATGTGTGGGGATTATGGAAGCAAGAGCCGTTGAACTCGTCGAAGCGTGCCATCCAGAACCTGAGCTCGTCCACCGAGCTACCGGAGAGGAGAATTTGGTGATTCCAAGACGGGCATTCTGCTATTTGCGTGAGCAGATTATGGGAGATGTCGCGGGCCACCGTCCCGAGCGCAAGCGACATGGATGCCAGCATTCCCGTGATGCGGGCTAGGTGGCGAACCGGGACGAGACGTCCATTGTTGCCCTCCGAGCATGTCAAACGCATCTCCTCGAGAATGCGCGCGCGTCGCGTCGGGTCAACAAAGAAGGACATCTCATTGGTGTCCAGGAGCAGGCCAAGAGATTTGAGGCGTTGCACTGGCTCAAGCTGTGACTTCTTCGTGTTGAGAATGGATCCAGCAAGCCGGAGTTCCTGTAGAATAGTGTTGCGAGAACGCAGCGCGCCGGCATGGCTCGCAGTGATGACAAGGATGTCATCCACGTAAGGAACGACTCGGATACCCTGACTTCGCCACTGCTTGGCAAGTTGCTTGATGATTTGAGTGAACACAAACGGTGCAGTCGCGAGTCCGAAGGGGAGTGAGAGATGTCAAACTATATATGTCAACCCGAAGTTAGGGTTAGTACTTGTGCGCACATTTCATTCAATGCAATCATTCCTGCTTGCTATCTTGACATGGTTTCATTACAGTAGGTCCGTAGGACCGTTTTTTTTTTCCGGGCCCACCATACTTAGTTTCCGACTGCGGTTACCGCGTTACCCCACTACCCTGCGTCGCGCTGCCCTGCGCACGCCCTGCCTTGCCCCGTGGCGCGCTGCCTCGCGCACGCCCTGCCCTGCCCTGCCTTGCGTCACCCTTCGCCAGCGCCCTGCCCTGCGCCAGCGCCCTGCCCTGCGCCAGCGCCTTGCCCTGCGCCAGCGCCCTGCCCTGCGCCGGCGCCCTGCCCTGCGCCAACCCCCTGCCCTGCGCCGGCACCCTGCCCTGCGCCAGCGCCCTTCCTGCGCCAGCGCCCTGCCCTGCGCCTCCGCCCTGCCCTACGCCCGCGTTGCTGCCCTGCGCGTCACGCCCTACGGCAGCCCGCGCGTCGCGCGCTGCTGCCCCGCGCGTCGCGCCTTACGGCAGCCCACGAGTCGCGCGCTGCTGCCCCGCGCGTCGTGCTCTGCTGCAGCCCGCGCGTCGCGCCCTAAGGCAGCCCGTCGCGTCGCGCTCTGCTGCCCCTTGCGTCACGCACTGCTGCAGCCTGCGCCAGCGCCCTGCCCTGCGCCAGCGCCCTGCCCTGCGCCCGCGCCCTGCCCTGTGCCAGCGCCCTGCTAAACCCTAAATAATTTATTTAAAAAAAAGGCCCTAGGTGCTTTTGCCCTAGGAGTTACTGCCTTCTGTTGCGTGCTACTGCCCTGCTCTGGCCGCGCGCCACCCTGCTCTGGTCGCGCGCCGCCCTGCTCTGGCCGCGCGCCCCGCTGCTGCTGCTGCTACTCGTGCTACTGCCTTCACTCCGTACTGCCCTAGAGGTCGCGCTCCTCCTAGCTTGCCCGCCATGACTTCAATTTGTCGTACCGGTGGGAGTGGTGACGGCAGTGGTGGCAGCAGTGGGAGTGGTGGCGGCCGTAGTAGCAGTCACTATGACGCTGTTAGGTGCGGAATGTCTGGCGGTGGCCAGATGCAGCTACGGCGGCGTCCGACACTTACGCCCCGGCAGCTTCGTGAGTGGCTTTACCAGCGTGGGCTGTCTCCGAGTCCGGGTCGCTGCCCGTACGTCATTCGCACAGGTCGTCGAGCTAGTGAGACCTCTGGGACATCTGGTCACACACACTCCCGCTGCTTCTCCTATTTGACTGACACCTGGCGCACAGAGTTTGGCGACGAGGCTGAGATCCCCCCCTGGCTTGAGCTGCTTAGGTCAGGCGTTGCTGTCTTTGCTTTAGACTATGACGCCATCCTTACTGCCATGTCTGCTTTGCCTAGTGGTGCTGAGAATGACTGTTACTTGTATGTGCAGTACGACCCCCGTATAGAGGTTGCTGCTCTAGGTGCTAGTGAGGCTGCTGCCTTAGGTGCTAGCGAGTCTGCTTCCTCAGGTACTGCGTCTGCTGAGGCCTTGCACACCTTCACGCTTTACTCAGGTGCTTCCCGCTGTTTCTTTCGTGACAGTACTGCACTCACACCACTCACTGCACCTGTTGCAGTCTCTCTGGCTGACCACTCAGGGGGCCCAGTTCTTGCACGATCCACCACTGTGCTCCCGTGCCCAGCGGTTCCGTCAGGCTCACTGACAGGCTTCCACCTCCCCTCGTTCTCTACGAACTTGGTGAGCAACACAGTTTTCCAGGACCAGTGGGTTGACACCTTTACCCCTGGAGGACACCGTGTAGCGATCTGTACGTGCTCCCGAACCGGCCGCCACCTGGTCACGTTTACCCGTCGGCCAGGGTCGAATCTTTACACACTGACGATTGCGCCTCCTCAGGTAGCTGTTACTGGTCAGGTGTCTGCGTGCACTTCGGGCATCCCAGTGCGAGGGGGTGTCAGAGGTCTACTGGTGATCCCCGATTGATCTTAGGGCAGGGTTACAGGCTCGTTGTCCTGGGGGGTTATGGGCGCACTGACCCGCTACTTAACAAGCCCTTTTATCCCAATGGTCTAGTGGTTGGGATTCTGACACCGCCCCCCTTGACTGAGCCTGTAGAGGTCACTAGTGACTCAGGTGCTGCTGCGAGAGGTGCTGCTGGGGGTGATGCGTCTGGGGGTGCTGAGCCTCCGCGTGAGGTGCTGGGGATTGCGGAGCCTGGGGGTGCTGAGCCTGCGGCTGCGGAGTCTGGGGGTGCTGAGCCCGTCCGTGAGATGCCGGGGGGTGCGGAGCCTGGGGGTGCTGAGTCTGCTGGCGTTCCTCTCGGTCTCGTTTCATGACGCGGGCCTGTCTCACCACAGCAGGCACGAGAGTGGCTTGCGTCGCGTACCCGCCTGAGGAGTCGTGCTGCTGGAGCTGCTTGTCGTGGAGGCGCTGGAAGTGCTGGTGTCTCTGGTCATGGAGGTGCTCATACTGGAGGTACTGGAGCTGCCGGGACTGGTACTGCTCCTCGAGATGGAGGTGTCGACTCTGGGGGTGCTGCTACTGGAGGTACTGGGGCTGGAGGCCCTGGAGCTGGTGCTGTCGACCCTGGCGTTGGAGACCTTGGAGCTGGAGGTGCCGGTTCTGGGGGTACTGCTGCTGGAGGCCCTGGAGCTGGTACCATCGACCCTGGAGTTGAGGACCTTGGGGCTGGAGGTGCCGGTTCTGGGGGTGCTGCTACTGGTGGCGCTGGAGCTGGAGGTTCTAGAGCTGTTGGAGGCGCTGGAGCTGGAGGTGCTGCTGCTGGAGTCACTGGAGCTGGAGGTGCTGCTGCTGGAGGCGCTGGAGCTGGAGGTTCTGGAGCTGCTGGAGGCGCTGGAGCTGGAGGTGCTGCTGCTGGAGTCACTGGAGCTGGAGGTGCTGCTGCTGGAGGCTGCTGGAGGTGCTGGAGCTGGAGGTGCTGCTGCTGAAGTCACTGGAGCTGGAGGTGCTGCTGCTGGAAGCGCTGAAGCCGGAGGTTCTGGAGCTGCTAGAGGCGCTGAAGCTACTGGTTCTGGTAGCATTGCACCGTCGCGACTGTTTTTCGCTCCGCCGTCACTGTCGCCTCTGCCACCACCTGACTCCGTGCTTCGCCAGGCTCTCAGCCTCTCGTCTTCTACTGGCCTCCCGTTACAGCCCGGCGCACCACTGCCTGCTCCTTCTCCGTACACTGAGCAGACAGACTTGCTTACAGAGAGTCGTGAGCCTGCGTCTCGTCCTGCCTCGCCTGTTCGCGCGCGTCGCACTGGCCGTCGTGTTCCTCGTGTGCGTCCGCCTCCTGTCCCTAGCACACACGCTATGGCACTTCGTTCTTCCTCTGTTCCACAGCGTGTTCCCCTGCCGTCTCCTCATGCGTCTTCTCTGCCTGATGTTCAGGACCCTGAGTCTGACCTGGTTCGTGCTGCTCACCCCACTATCACGCGTCTGCTAGCCACTGTTGTCACTGACCCGTCGTTTGAGTCTGCTGCTGCGTCTGCCTTAGTATCTGAGCTTGTTGACTTTGCTGCTGCCTGTCGTCTCGACTTCGCTGCTAGTCTTGTTGCTGAGTCTGAGTTTGTCTGTCCTCCATCCGTTGGGGGTGAGTGTGCTCTTGGCACGGACGTCCTTGAGGACAGGCAGGAGGACTTTGATTGTCTTGCAGCCGCTTTGCCTCATCTCGTGGCCATGCTGCTTGCCCCTGAGGGAGACCCGGATGCACCAGACATCCCGACTCCGCATTCTTACGCTGAGGCGATCGCGGGTCCCTGCTCCTCTCAATGGCAGACAGCCATGGACGCAGAGATGGCATCCTGGAAGTCCACAGGCACTTACGTCGATGAGGTTCCCCCTCCTGGGGCGAACATCGTCGATGGCATGTGGATTTTCAGGGTGAAGCGGCCGCCGGGTCCTCCGCCTGTCTTCAAGGCTCGTTACGTTGCACGAGGCTTCAGTTAGCGACAGGGAGTTGACTTCTTCCAGACCTTCTCCCCCACCCCGAAGATGACCACTCTTCGAGTGCTGCTGCATGTTGCCGCTCAGCGTGACTACGAGCTTCACTCTCTAGACTTCAGCACAGCGTTCTTACAAGGCAGTCTGCACGAGGAGATCTGGCTGCGCCGCCCACCTGGCTTCACTGGGTCGTTCCCTCCTGGTACCCAGTGGAGCCTCCGGCGGCCAGTCTACGGTCTCCGTCAGGCGCCTCGTGAGTGGCACGACACACTGAGGATGACACTTGCGACTCTTGGGTTTGCCCCTTCCACTGCTGACCCGTCGCTGTTTCTACGCGCCGACACTTCACTGCCGCCGTTCTACATCCTCGTGTACGTCGACGACTTGGTCTTTGCCACTGGTGACACTGAGGCACTCGCCCTTGTGAAGTCGGAGCTGTAGAAGAGACACACGTGCACAGACCTGGGTGAGCTGCGCAGTTACCTTGGCTTGCAGATCACCCGAGATATTTCACAACGCACCATCACCCTGACTCAGTCACACATGGTGCAGCAGGTCCTTCAGCGCTTCGACTTCACTTGGTCCTCACCACAGTCCACTCTTCTGGCTACTGGTCACTCGCTCTCAGCTCCACCTTCGGACGAGTCCGTAGAGCCGAGTGGTCCGTACCCAGAGCTATTGGGCTGCCTCATGTACTTGATGACCTGCACTTGTCCTGACCTTGCGTACCCTCTTGGCCTTCTGGCATGCTACGTGGCTCCTAGTAGGGACCGAAAGGTGCACATGGATGCTGCGAAGAGGCTACTGCGCTACTTGTGCAGTACATCGGGCATGGGGCTCGTGCTTGGAGGGCGGAGCTCAGTTGTCGTCACTGGACACTCAGACGCTTCTTGGATTGACGACGTGGCCACGAAGCGGTCATCACAGGGTTACACTTTCAGCCTTGGCTGCGGCTCTGTTTCTTGGCGGCCTACCCGCTCATCTTCTGTTCTCAGCTCCAGTTGTGAGGCTGAGATCTACGCCACAGACTTGGCTGCACAGGAGTTACACTGGCTCACCTACCTGTTGACCGACTTGGGAGAGCGGCCTCGTTCTCCTCTAGTTCTGTACGTAGACAACAAGGCCGCCATTGCCTTGTGTCAGGAGCACAGACTGGAGCACAGAATGAAGCACATCGCTCTGCGTTACTTCTTGGCTCGAGAGTTGCAGCAGCATGGTCAGCTTCGTCTTGCTCACGTGGCCACTCGGGCCAACTCTGCTGATATATTCAGCAAGGCACTTCCGTCTGGTGATCATCAGCGCTTCTGTACTATGTTAGGCCTTGCTTGTACTGTGATCTATATATATTCTGCATGCTTGCTCTTGCTAGGTAGTGATCACTGTACTGTTGTTGTTGCATATATACCTCTGCATTTGAGCTGGCCTTGTGGCCCTTTGCTTGTGCTCGAGTGTGTGGTGACGTTGTGATCCACCCCGAGCTTGCTTTGCTTTTCTTGACTGGTCCTGTGACCCCTTCTTCTCCCCCACTTTGCCTATAGGGGTGTGTCAAACTATATATGTGTTAGTCCTGTGTAGGCTCTAGTGGGGTAGCCCATATGGGGTACAACCCGAAGCTAGGGTTAGTACTTGTGCGCACATTTCATTCAATGCAATCATTCCTGCTTTCTATCTTGACAAGAGAAACTGATATTCCACACCCTGGAAGGAGAATCCAAGAAATCGCCAGTAGCTATGATGAATGTCAACGTGATGGTATCCGAATTTGAGGTCGATTGTGAATAACCAATCACCATGTTGAACGAGATCGGGGATACGATTGAGTCCCTCGTAGTGAAATTTAGACGTGCGTAAAAAACCGTTCACGTGCCTCAAGTCGAGGATGAGCCGCTTCTTGGTCGGTTGTACGACTACGTTCAACGGACTAGAACATGTATTTTCTGTTCGAAACGAAATAGTGCGTGCCACCCCCGCGGCTACGAGCTCGGCAAATGCCTCCGTGGTGAAGTCTATATGCTGGGCCACGCCAGGGTGGTTTGGTGCACAACGAGGTGTGGGCTCGGTATTCAACCACGGTAACTGATAGCCGCGTGAGATGATAGAAATGATGAAACTGCTGTCACACCACGTGGACCACCATGAAGGCCTTGTCTTGTTTGTTCCTTGCCACACCTCACGGGCGGCCGAAGGCCGTGCAGGCGAGCGGTCTCTCTCTCTCTCTCTCTCTCTCTCTCTCTCTCTCTCTCTCTCTCTCTCTCTCTCTCTCTCTCTCTCTCTCTCTCTCTCTCTCTCTCTCTCTCTCTCTCTCTCTCTCTCTCTATCTTTGTGCCACTGCTGCTTCGTGGAGCGACAATGGAAAGGGTGGTTAGGGCGAGTGATATTTTTTCGAACTTCCCAAGTTCAAACTTTTAGAAAGGTTCTACATGGTAGTACACAATAGAGATTTTTCGCCACGGTACAAAGCGGTTCAAGTTTGAACTTCGACAAATTTTTGAAGATCACACACGCCCTCATGAGAGGTGAAGATTGGCTGAATGGGACACATGATGAATTTGCTACTGTTTTGACTCAATTACTATCCAGTGCAGTCACTCCGTTCTTTCTCCCGCCTGTACAGTTTTAAAATCACACAACAAAAACGAACTCGCCTTGCCCCTGGTGCGTACGCACAATTAGGGGATGTCATGCAACTTTAAAGTACAACCACTTCTAGAATCTGTTGCCCGATTCCACTTGGTAACCATTGCAGAAATACGTAGAATCAGACTAACATTTTGGTTTGCGTTTCAATTCTGCCTGACACATTCAGGAGGTGTGTGCATACACGAATCCATGCGTCTATGACTCATACACAGCCATCCTTGATAGAAGCCGCTGCCACCAAAGCGCAGACGCCTTGGGTGTTCTCTTAAACCCATTAGAGCGGTCGACATGCACAATGCCGAAGCGGCGCGAGTACCCCATCTGCCACTCGAAGTTGTCCATCCACGACCATGCCATGTACCCCCGCACATCCGCCCCTTGCCTGCCATGCATGCGTGGAGGGAGTGGGGTGAGATGGCAGGGGACAAATGCATGTCAGCATGCGCTTGGTGACGTCAGCATGCAATTATGATGTCAGCTTGTGTCTGATGATGCCAGCTTGTGTCCGATGATGTCAGCATGCTTAAAACGATGTTGGCATAAGTGGAATGCAGTGAGGACACATGCAATGACGTCAGGATGCATGGGGAGGTTTGAGACGCGATGCCATGACACCTCAAGAGCCAACCGCATGAGCGAGCAAGAGAGTCTCAACTTGCTGTTTCTCAGCCTATCCCTCACATGGACAGTGGAACCCCAATACAGTCCCCCTCTTCCTCCCTTCATGCAAAGCCTTTGGTAGCCACTTCTGATTCGGGAATAGAGCATCAACTTACCATTGGCTTGGACGAATGCCCAGCTGTCATAACTACGTGACTCTCGCCGCCATAGCTGTACTGCATGTGTCCTTGATGAATCATGCTCACTCCCACACTTGAGACGTCACAAACTCCGACACATGTGGCGGCAGTGGCGGACAGCCATGGGGCAGCAAGATGCATGAGACCGAAAAACAGGTGCCACGGCTGTGGCTACGCCAGTCCGACTCGCCTGATTGTGCTGAGAAGGCGCAAAAGGCACGCATGCTAGGGGCAGATGCGGTGCCATCACGTGTTAACACCAGTCTGACTCGTGTGGTGAGAGAGAAGGCGCTCATGTCTCACCTGATGGCGCTGAGAAGGTGCGAGAGGCACTTGATGGCACGCATGGAGCAGAGATTCAGAATGTGGTGATGTGCACGGCGGAGGGGGGCCAGGGACAATACCCAAATGGCTTGAGGTAATGCGAGTCAGATGTACCCGATGGCGCTCAGGAGGTGAGAAAGAGACACGTGGTAGTAGAGATGCTTGTGAGAGTGTGTAGCGCGAGAGGGAGGCTGTGTATTATACCAGAACTGCTTGGTAATGTGCAAGTCAAACGTACAAGGTTTAAGGTTTAAGGGTCTACGCGTGGTAGAAGCGGATACGATGCAGGTCACTGGTGGCCAGCGTGCAGGGCGGAGGAGAGGCAGTGACAACACCAAAACCGCTTGCTAACCCCAGCCCGACTCACCTAATTGCCTCAAGCAGGTGCGAGAGGTACGCTTTGTAGTAGCGGATGCGGTGCGGGTCACTGGTGGCCAGGTGGAGGGGCAGCGACGGGTCGTCCTCCTCATCTAGGTCTGCAGGGATGTGTGGAGGTGTGGAGGTGTGGAGGTGTGGAGGTGTGGAGGTGTGGAGGTGTGGAGGTGTGAAGGTGTGGAGGTGTGGAGGTGTGGAGGTGTGGAGGTGTGGAGGTGTGGAGGTGTGAAGGAGGGTGGGGATAGGTGGGAGGACGGAGGGGAGGAGTGGAAAGGGGTGAGCCAGAGAGGGTGGCTCACTCGTTCTCCTCATTGGGCCCTGCAAGATGGGGGGATGAGGGCTCAAGCGAGGCATGAAAATTAATCATTCTGAGGTGACAGGGGACCTCGGTGATAGTGGTGTGAGGCGAACGAAGGGAGTTATGTGCAGGCCGGTGGTTGAGATGAAGCAGAGAGGAGCGACAAGGATGGGACAAGACGGAACAAGATCCAGACAGCAAGGCAACCTTCGGCGCCTCCCTAATCCTTAAAAAGGAGAATTTGGTGAACATGCACAGCAATTGCGATGGCATAAACGCTGCACGCACATTATGTGCCCCCAGGCCCCTCCATTACCATTCTCTGTGATGTAGATGGGTGGTGCCCCGTATGTGGTGGTGATGTGCATGAGCAGCTTCTGGAAGCCCCACGGCACCTCGTACAGCCATGGGGACGCCGCCTGGTGTGATGTAAGTTGGTAGGTGTGCATGGTGAGAGGGAAGGGGGAAGAAAGGGGGTGAGCAGGTTGTGAAGTGCTCTCAGCACCTCAGCTCGTACGGCCATGGCGATGCAGACTGCAGGTGATAGGTTGGCGCGTGTGCATCGGGGTAGAGGGGGGAACAGGTGGGTGCACATGGCGTGAAGCCATGTGTAGCTGGTGAAGCGCGTTCAGGAAGGAAAGCAGCGGAGAGATGGGACACGGGTGCAGGATGGGAGGTGTGGGACACGGGTGCAGGATGGGAGGTGTGGGACACGGGTGCAGGATGGGAGGTGTGGGACACGGGTGCAGGATGGGAGGTGTGGGCGGAAGTGAGCGATCGACATGGGCATGAGAACACATTGGCGGAGAGCAGGGTGCATTTATGAGGGTTTAGGGTTAAAGGTTGATGACAGAGCTGATCCAAGTAAAAGGGAGGCGAGAAACAACGTGCCTTTTCAACAGAATTCAGGGGCTTTAAGAATGAGGAGGAGACGGGAGGAGACGGAGGAGAGGAGGAGAGGAGAGGAGGGGAGGGCAGAGGAGAGGGGAGGGGAGGGGAGGAGAGGTCAGGAGAGGAGAGGGGGGGGTAGGTCGGGGAGGGGAGAGGAGGGGAGGGGAGGGGAGGGGAGGGGAGGGGAGGGGAGGGGAGGGGAGGGGAGGGGAGGAGAGGGGAGGGGAGGGGAGGGGAGGAGGGGAGGGGAGGGGAGGCGAGGGAATGAGGGTAGGGGAGGGGAGAGGAGAGGGGAGGAGAGGAGAGGAAAGGGGAGGAGAGGAGAGGAGAGCAGAGCAGAGGAGAGCAGAGCAGAGGGGTTTGAGTCACCTGCTGGCCAATCAGGCGGCCATCACGTTCAACTGCCATGTGATTGATTGGAGTGCCACGTGTGGAAGAATGCAGAGTAGAGTAACAGCATGGAGGAGCATCACGTGGACATGCCATGAGTTGTGCGATGCATGCATGCATGGAAGGGGAGCGCATGCACAGGTAGAGACAGAGAGACACGAGAGCGCAGCACAATAGAAGATTAAGGAGAAAATGGAGGATGAACAATGCAAAGGAAAAAGGAAGGCAATGAGAGTACGGGGAGAACAGACACAAAGAATCAACACAGAGTGATGCTCACACCATGAACAGTAACATGCTCACACCATGAACAGTAACATGCTCACACCATGAACAGTAACATGCTCACACCATGAACAGTAACATGCTCACACCATGAACAGTAACATGCTGATCATCAAAGTAGCTCCACAGCCTGCCTTTCTCGCCCCCCTCCCGCGCATCTGCATGTGCAATGTATCTGGACGTGTAGTGGTTGAGCCCCACAAAGTCCACACTGCCTTTAAGCGAGGCAGCTTGTAAGGGGGAGAAGGAGGGCAGGCGGGGGCCCACGTAGTGGCGCATGGCAGGTGGGTAGGCGCCAAAGAATATGGGGTGCAGCAGCCTGAGGGCGCGGAAGATTGCGGAGAGAGGACAGAGGAACAGGGAATGGGGAAATGGAGGAATGGCGAAGGAGGGATGGGGAAAAGAGGGTTGTGAGAGATGGTGATGAGCAGCCTGGCTGAACAATCAGTCATGCACGCACTTTCCGAGCACATTGAAACACGGAACACCTTTTGAGACACCTCGAACATTAGTCATGCAGGCAAGCAAGAAATGGTACGCAAGCTGTCTGAAAGGAAGCATATTCGCAGGAGGGTGGAAAAAAGACAAGCACAGCTACCCACCATCCGAGGTTGAACTGCATGCGCCTATCAGCAGCTGCCACGTCATCTGGGTGCTGAGAGAAAGGCTCCGCCCATTCGCTGTCCACCGCAATGCCGATTTGCCCCCCCTGGTGTGGCTGGTGGGAGAGAGATAAGGTATGGAGGGGGAAAGGCAGAGGGAAAAGACGCAATTTGAGAGGCACAAAACAAACCTGAACAATTTGGTGACTTTAAAGTCAACTAACAACTGGTGGACGATGGGGCGTTGGAAGCAGTGGAGAAGGACGAATTGGAGGAGGGAGCAAGGGACAGTGGGAGAGGGGTGGCTGGGTGAGGGGACAAGAGGGAATGGAGGGATTGGTCAAATGGGAGACAAGCAACAAACAGATTCTTCCAGTGCTTTAGGTATAGGGCTTCGCCACTAGAGGTTGAATCGGGAGGGCAAATCGGCATCATTAGGTTTGCGACTCACCCATCGCCACAACATCTTCTTGTCGAGCACCCCATCAGCAGCAGCCCCTTACCCACCCCACCAGTTTAGAGAGTCGTTCCTGCTAACTTCCACAGCAGCAATCGACCCACTAAGTCCCTCCTGTAGCACTCCACAGCAGCAACATGTGATGCAGAGTAAGGCTCCACCGCCCCACGGACCCCCCTTTAACAGCAGCATCAGCAGCAGCAGCAGCAGCACCCGACACATCTGCCTGAATACTCCCTCGTCATCCCACCTACCAGTCAGCAGCAGCAGCAGCGGCGACGGCGGCGGCGGTGGCGGCGGCGGCGGCGGCAGCAGCAGCGTGTGATGCACCACCACATACGGCTCCACCGCTCCATCGCCCTCTCTACCAGCAGCAACCGCCACACCTACTTGAATTGAACCTTTATCTCTCCTGTAGCAGTTAGCAGCAGCAGCAGCAGCATCCCCCGACCTACGCACCCACCTGGAACTCGCTCCTATAGCAATCAGCAGCAGCATGCGCCAGCAGCATGTGATGCACCACCACATACATACGGCTCCACCGCCCCATCGCCATCCCTACCAGCACCAGCAGTCTCAGACCTACTTGTCTGAAGCTCTCTCCGGTACCAGTCAGCACCAGAAGCCTTCGACCCGCCAAACACTAGCTATCGGCAGCAGTAGCAGCAGACACTAGTTCATACCTCGAATTCCCTCCTATAACAGTCAACAGCAGCAGCGTGCCCCAGCAGCATGTGGTGCACCACCACATACGGCTCCACCGCCCCATCGCCCTCCGCACAGCACTGCCGGTCGGAGCAGCGCCCGGGCGCAAAGTCTCCCACGGCGTAGCCCTTGGTGGCGAAGGTGTAGGGCTCGTTGAAGGTGATCCAGTAGGGCACTCTGTCGCCGAACAGGGAGAAGCACAGTCGTGCATAGTCCCTGAATGCACCACTGGAGGCGGGGAGGGGAGAGGCAGGGACAAAAGTTGAGTGCAAAGTTCCCCAAGGCGTAGCCCTTGGTGGCGAAGGTGTAGGGCTCGTTGAAGGTTAGCCAGTGAGAGACCCTGTCTCCGAACAGGGAAAAGCAGAGTGAGGCGTACTCCCGGAACGCACCACTGGAAGGAGGAAGGGAGGGGAGGGGAGGGGGCAACAGTTGTGAGCAAAGTCCGCCACGGCATAGCCCTTGGTGGCAAAGGTGTAGGGCTCGTTGAAGGTGAGCCAGTATGGCACTCTGTCCCCGAAGAGAGAGAAGCAGAGGTGCACGTAGTCCTGAAATGCACCACTGGAAGGGGAGAAGAGGAGGGGGTAACAGTTGAGCACAAATCGCCAAGGGAGAGGCCAGGGTGTGGGTGAGGGAGAAGAGGGGACAGGTGGGCGCAAAGTCCCCCACTGCCTAGCCCTTGGTGGCGAAGGTGCAGAGATTGTTCAGAGCCACTGAGAGGCGCAACTGCTACAGTGGGAGACATAATGCTGAGACGTAATTCCCTAAGTGCGGGGCTGGGGGGTGGTGAGGCAGGGCCAACAGTTGGGCAACAGTTGGTGAGGGAAGGAGGAGGATAGGAGGAGAAATGATCCAACAATCACCACATGCACATTGCACACTCGCATGCACACTCGCATGCACACTCGCATGCACACTCGCATGCACACTCGCATGCACACTCGCATGCACACTCGCATGCACACTCGCATGCACACTCGCATGCACACTCGCATGCACACTCGCATGCACACTCGCATGCACACTCGCATGCACACTCGCATGCACACTCGCATGCACACTCACGGTGACTCACACGATGGCCTCGCCTCTGAATCCGCCAAACTCCTCCTCCAGTGCCTGCGGCAGGTCCCAGTGGAAGAGCGTCACACACGGCGTGATGCCTGCGCACGGGGGGAAAGGGGGTGGGTGGGGTGGGAGTTACAATGAGAGAGTCACACTTGGCTCACAAGGGGGATGGACGTGGGGATGGGGCGTGGGGATGGGGGGTGGGGATGGGGGGTGTGATGCCTCCACAAGGGGGAATGGGGGGAAAGGGTGGGAGATACAAAGAGGGAGGAGGATGGAGGCAGCAGAAGCATCAAGGAGAGTGCGGAGTGCTCAAGTGACTTTCTTGTTGACTGAAACAAGCACTGCAGCCACGCTACTGCACCTTCTCATAGAACCAACCCCACCTTCTCTGTATTGAGAGGTCAGTAGTGGTTCACTCCCTCATGGCTCATGGTAATTAGGATGCTTTGCTAACCCAATCACCTCTCTGCTGACGTGCTGAGCTTCAGATACGAAGGACGAAGAGAAGGAGAGATGCAGAGCTGTGCAAGATAGTGCAATGAGGTGAAGAGCGGTTGAAAGAGGTGGCTGACCATTACGGAGCAAGCAGTCGATGAGGCGGTTGTAATACTCCACACCCTCCTGGTTCACTGGCTGCCGCCCCGCTGTGAGCCCATAAAAAAAAAAAAAAAAATAGAGAAACAGATTGGAAGGGTATAGGCAGGAGAAGTGCAGCTGGTTGTAATAACTGACTTAATCGAACACCTTGTGTTGTTTGCAAAGATCAGAGACTCGTGAAAGCGGGTATGAAGCGGAGGCTTAGATGCTCACGATCTTGCAGCTAGAGAAAGACAACAGCACGCACGGGAACGAGATGCTTCCTGGAGTGTGCAAGACATGCTCTCCGACAGGACAATTCTTCATCCGCCTCGCACGGAGTGTGTTGTGGAGTGCACAAGGCGAGGAAAGCGGACGCACACGGGAGGATGCGCGACCAGCTGATGGAGAAGCAGTAGGCTGAGAAGCCCAAATGCCTCATCAGTGCCACGTCCTCCTGCATGCTCGAGGGCAGGCAGGGAAAGGAGGGGATGGATGTGGAGCGTGGAGCACACGGGGCAATGGAGGGGGGCATACAAGGGAGGTGCGGCTACCTGATGGTAGGCTTAAGTGCCTCATTAGCCCCACATCCTCCTGCACGCCGTGTTACAGTGAGGTTTGAGGTCTGAGCGGTGACTGGCTGGCCATGCCCAGTAGTGAACAGGCCTTGGGGACTGGTGCTTGGAACATGCAGCAGGGAGATACAGCGGTGCAGGAGGGTGCTGGTGGGGTGGAGCTGATTGGGTGGAGGTGGAGGGGCATGGCACGCACCTCGTATCGGTGGTATTGATCGCACGCCACGTCACCCGTGTCACCGTTGTGTGTCCTTCCTGTAACACACAGAGTCGCAGCACACCGCTTTGCAGCAAACAAGCATTAAATGGGATGAGTGTGTACAGTGTACTTACACATGCCCGAACATGCTCACACATGCTCGAACATGCTCACATATGCTCGAATATGCTCACATATGCTCGAACATGCTCACATATGCTCGAACATGCTCACATATGCTCGAACATGCTCACATATGCTCTGCTACCGCACCTGCCCTGCTACCGCACCTGACCTGCTACCGCACCTGACCTGCTACCGCACCTGACCTGCTACCGCACCTGCCCTGCTACCGCACCTGCCCTGCTACCGCACCTGCCCTGCTACCGCACCTGACCTGCTACCGCACCTGCCCTGCTACCGCACCTGCCCTGCTACCGCACCTGCCCTGCTACCGCACCTGCCCTGCTACCGCACCTGCCCTGCTACCGCACCTGCCCTGCTACCGCACCTGGCGTGTGGGCGAACACGTCCCAGATGCTGGCTCCTCGCCCTCCTTCCCGCGCTGCCCCCTCCACCTGCGCACCCAGGGGAAGATGGGGGAGAAGGCGCGCAGCTAAGCATAAGGTGTGGTGGGCACAGGGACGTTCCTCTCATGCGTGCACTCACCTCACGGCCCCATGCGACCACGTGTCATCGACTTGCCAGAACCTGCCCCCTCCCATGCAAGCAGCCAGAGGAGCATGCGTGCGTTTATGGTTTAGGGTAACCAGCCGTGGGCCCAGCCAATTACCAACACGTCTGGCCTCATGCCCTTCCGCCCTCCCTCCTTCCCTCTCCTTCCCCCACTACTCCCCCGTTGCCTGCGCCCCCTCCTCTTCCCCCCCATGCTTTCCCCTGACCCCCGCACCTGGTATGCGGCAGTGGCGGTGCCAAACAGGAACCCGGGCGGAAACATGTCTCTCCGCAGCGCTCCCCCCGCGCCCTCCTCCGCATCCCCGCGCGGGTCCTTCTCCGCGTTCCCCGCAAGTCTCTCCGCCCGCGCGTCCTCCGCGCGGATTGGCAGCGCTTTCCCCCGCGCGACGGAACTTGTTACAAGCGCGTCCGCGAAGCGCCAGTGGCGACAGCTGCTAGTCGCTCTAAACTTTAGGCAGCGTAAATTCCGGGGCGCGCTGAGGAATATCACGCGGCCGTTTCGAGGAACATTAGAGCGGGATCGCACAGTCCCACTCCTTGAACCCGAGAGCGAGACGAGGCGCAAATCTCGCCGCGGAACACGGCCCGTATCATGGCGCGAAGGAGAGGAGGGGAGAGCGAGCGGAAGCGCGGTGTGGCGGGGAAAGGCGGTAGGCGGGGAGGCGGCGGCGCGAACGGCGGCAGAACATGGCTGGTTGTTGAGTCGCGTTATCGTGTGATTCGGTGCACTGGTACAAGCCGCCCCGGTATAAGCACTGTAAGCCATGAATTTCACCTCGTATTCCTCTAAAGAGTCCAATGTACCGACACGGGAGATTTCATTGCAATTTCTGTTACACCACAATATCACCAGCGTTCTAAGTTTGACCAAATTTGGTTCCTCTCCATTGGGTGGTTGTAACCCGGTCTACAGAGTATCTTGAATCCCAGGGTTTTGTTCATCGGAAAGTCTGTCGCCACTCCAAAACTGCTGTTCCAGCGACACCAAACGCTACACGGAAAGTCGCACAACCCTGCACCAGGAACGAATAGCAGGAAACCAGAAGTCAAGACAATTCAGGTCAGGAACCAGGCGCCTCTCCTCTACGTCGATCATGCGATCGACTCTGCTTAGGGTCGTTTTTTAGCGTGGTAAAAAAGGGTTCTAAAAGTGTTGAATGCAATCCGAGGGAGCTTACTGCGGTGGAGGTTCGCCTTTTCACGATCGACCGCAGGATCTACGTTCAGGTGACGCGTCCGAGCAAGCAAGTCTGCCGATTCCGCCATAGACCACCGCCATTGAAAATTGATGGCCCTCCTGCAGATGCGAATCACGGCTGACGGCAAGATTCCTGACCGTCGGAACAGAAGGTTAGTTTCGGTAGTTTCTCATTCTCATGGCGCATTGCTTCTCCCCACTTCCCCCTTTCTCCCGTGCTCCTACACTAGATTCTCGATACCGTGCCTTGCGGTGCGTGTCCCTATCCTGTAATTATGCTCGGTAGTTCAGGTTTCCCTCGTGTTTCCTATCCTCTCCGTAGGAGTTGGTATTAATTGAGGTCCGCGTATTGTCATACGTCAACCAGTTATGTTTGGAACGTCCTTCTATCCCCTCGGTCGCTCTGTTCCCGTCGACTAGTGCGCGTATCATCCGAATCTGAGCCGGCGCGCGAATCCCTCCAGTTTAGGGTGGGACCTTCTCGCCCGCGTCTCCCGCCGTGCGCCCTCGTCCCATTCCCCCCGGGGGCCTCTCGTCCCTTCCTCCCAACCGTCTCGCCCCATTCCCCCTCACTTCCCTCCCTCCCGTGCGCCTCTTCCCATACCCCTCTCGTCCCTGCCTCCCTTGCGCCTTGTCGTCCCATTCCCCCTCTCGTCCCTTCCTTGAAAATGACCGCTCTCAAGCCACCGTCGGATGAAATATTGCAGACGGCAAGATTCCTGACCGTCGAATGAAATCTGATCGCCTCCCCATTTCCCAATTTACTGACGGCTAGATTCCTGACCGGTTATCATCCGACGGTTAGGAGTCTTGTCGTCGGATCCCAATTCGGATTTCTAGTCGGCAATCGCCTCCCCATTTCCCAATTTACCCTTCCGGGGTCCCCATTTTTCCTTTCCGAAGCCCCATTTCCCCTACCCGCCTCCCCATTTCCATTTTCGCTACCCGCCTCCCCACCCCCCCTTCCCGCCTCCCTATTTCCCCTTCCCTCCTCCCCATCTCCCCTTCCCGCCTTTCCATCTCCGCTTCCCGCCTCCCCAGCTCCCCTTTTTGCCATCCCATCTCCTCGCCTGCATTCCCCTCTCCCTTCCCTGCCTTCCCGTCTCCCCACCGGCATTCCCCTCTCCCTGTTGTGGTTGCACAACATGCACCTTGCCACATTCCTCCTACCAAAATCAGTCACTCTCATGCGGCATGTCGTGTTGGTATGCGGTGATCCCATTCTACCTCAATGTCCTTGGGGTGCTATGCCACCACGAGATGCTTGTAGCGTGTACTTGGCGCTGGGAACCAACGTTGCTTTTGGGGAGGCTCATCCCTAAGGTCGCAGAGTGCTAGTTTAGAATGCTGCGAGTTTTGTTTTTTAGTCGCTCACAAGAAGTGGTAACATTGGTGACACGCAACGATGCCGCGAACATTGTTTGCCGAATTCGAGAACCCACCCCCTCGCTTGCCAGTTGGATTTCACGCACCAACCAACCTTCCCAAGTTTGAGACCTCTTGACCTCAGAATTTAATGTAATTGCGTCAATTGTCGAACCTTTTTTTATGTGCTGTTTTTACAGAACCTGATCTTATCTCCATACGAGTGTGTATGGAGAGCGATTTGGAGCTTGAGACAGTGCTGCTAGGGAAGTTGTTGGGTCAGAATCGCAGCCAGCACCGACACGGGAAATATTTTCATGCGCTTCGTCAGGTAACCTAGAATTCACCACTCCCATTCCCTATCCACGCACATCCAATCCACTTGTTCTATCCTCTAAGACCCGCATCATCATCTTATCCTCATCTCTTCCCCCGGTCAGCACCACCACAAGGGACTTTTTCTCTTCAACCTCCTCCAGTGGCTACACAAGATTCAGTGACCTTTCAGTCGACTCAAAAGTCACCTCATCCTCTCCCTTCTCCCTAATCTCTTTTCCTTTCAGCTTCACCGCCGATTACGGGACTTCCTCTCGTCAAACGTCCTCCAGCTGCTACATGATATCAAGGGCGCCGCACCTCCAGTGCTGCTGGCTGTCGCGCAAAGCAAGGAGCTCACCAGCCAGTCCAGGCGGCTCGTCTTCTCTCTACAGTACGTTCAAGAGGTAAGTTGGTTCTAGAATAACGAACGTGTTAAGAAAAATACTTACACGAACTGCCTTCACGTGGGATGTCTTCTCCCTACAGTACGTTCAAGAGGTAAGCTCACTTTAAAAGACCCTATGTTGGAAAAACACGCATTCAGTGTATATACACGTATCGTATGTACGCTAGCGTGTATACGCAATACGCTAGAGGGTCAGATCGAGCATACGCTTTTTTGGGCAACTAAAATCCTTTCTCAGAAAAGGCAAAAAAAGAAGCCAGCTGTTAGGGGGGATTCATGGGAGTTGAGTTTCAGATTTAATGTTTTTTAGAGTGCTCTGTTGGTAGCGGGACTGGAAAATGGAATAAGTTGGGCATTATCGCAAGCTGCTGAATAGCGAGATGAGTGGCGGAAAGGTGAGCACGAGTTGTTGGGGCTGGTTTCAACGTGGTAAGAGTTGGAAACATAAATGTGAATGTGCAAACGCGACTCCAGGAAGTTGACCGTGCATTCGCAACAGCAATGTTTGAACCCACGTCCACGCTATCACAGACAGCTGACATTTCGACTTCGAAAATTTGCTCGTCGTGCAATTCCGCAACTGTTACCTGTGTATGGCATATTCATTACCGTGTAGCATATACATGCTCTCGTACATACACTAAACGTTAAGGGCCTTGAGCGTATATTACAACATAAGAAGACCTTTCAAATGACCTCGCACTAGGATTCTTCTCCATGCAGTTCCTTCATGTGTTGTTGGAAATTTCTTTTCATGGTTTTTTCTCTATCGTATGAACCCCTTCACCACCCCCCCTCTCCCCACCCCCTCCCCCTCCCTCCCACACACACACTCTGTCTCTCCCTTCACCGTGTTTCTCCCACTTTTTTATCTCTGCCTCGCCTCTCCCCATCTGCCCCCACTCCCTCTTCCCTCTCCGCCCCCATTTTTCATGCGCAACATCCTTGTCCATCCCTCTTAGACCACGAGCCTCTTGATGCAGGCCGCTCGGTAAGATTTTATTCGAACACCATATTCAACAGCACAACCTTTAAACCCGGAAACCTAAACCGCAAACATGTTTTTTTTCAAGCACCAACCCTCTCTTTTAACATTTTGTTTCATTATTAGTGTGTGTAATTGTTAGCTCAATATTAGAATTTCTAGGGGTTTACTGTGTCAGTTACCAGCCTTATAGCAGGCCTGGTTATATTGGAGCGCTTCCTCCCTCTCTGTGTCACGAGCTTCGCCTGCTTGGATCGGCTCTACATCCTCTTGCTTCAGGTGGACGTTATTGCGTTTACCTGTATTTTATAGGCACAAAGTGGTGCGCATCTATGTCTTTTCTGTTATCTTTGTGCTACTTAAGGTATGTAATTATATGACCGATGCGTGTTCCTTTATCTGCAGCATTGTCTTTGTGTGTTTGTGTGCTTATGTGCTTAAGTGCTTGAATGTGCGTGTGTGCGCGCGCGCATGTGTGTGTGTTTACCTTTACAGTGTCAGCTATACCACATTTCGGCTTATAATCGCCTGACAGCCACAGCAGCAAGAGGCAAGGTAGGCCATGTTCCGCCTACTCATACTGCTCCTCTCACACTCTGCATTGCTCTGCCTAACTGCTCTTCTCATTGAGCTGTCCCCGTCTATCTTCCTCTTGCTTCTCTTCCCGCTGGCTGCCTCACTCTCATTTATGACCTCTGATGACCTCGTGTTTTCCTATCACTAAAGTAGCAGCTACGTTTATCCTTATCATCATTGCATGCAAGCCTCTACCTTGTCTTCCCTGCGGCCCCATCCTCTTCCCCCACCCCCCCGCCCCCCCCTCCCCACCCCCTCCCCTCTTCGCCCCCTTCCACCCCCTCCCTTCCATCCCTTCTCCTACTCAGGTGTCCCTTCCATCGTCTCTTCCTCCCTGCCTGTACCACATATGGCAAGCCTCGACCCTCCTCATCTCCCCTCGCCCATTCCCTTTGCCTGAGCCCAGCAGCAGCAGCAGTAGCTGCAGCAGTGGCAACTGGCACAAGAAGACAGAAAGTGAGGCGCCTGATAATAGTGAAGACCGCCTCTTTTCCCCACAGAAGAATGTGGCAGCTGCACTTGCTCCTGTAGCAGCTGGAGCAGCCTCACCCGCTGCACCTGTTACAGGAACACCCGCTGCAGGCACACGTGCTGAGTCACAGGAAAGAGAGGGAAGGCGCAAGAGGCTGAAGGGCCGAGAAGGAGCCGGGCAAGGAAGGAGAGTGGGGCATGGGAAAGAGGGGTATGGGAGAGAGGGGCAAGGGAGGGAGGGACAAGGGAGGGAGGGGAAAGGAGAGGATGGTGGAGCAAGAGGCAGGAGTCCGTTTGGGCCTGATGGCCCCTCCATGGCTGCTCTGATGCAGGAGCTGGGGTTTGGAGAATTCGTTTCTGCCCCGGTCAGCAGCCTTGGGGGAAAGGAAGGGCAGACAGGCAGGAAAAGAGGGAGGGGGAGGGAGAGGGGGATGGGGAGGGGGGATGGGGGGATTCAAGGGGGAGCGGGGGCGGTGGAGGAGGGGGGTGTGTTTGGCAGTAGGGGGGCGTGGGGAGGGGAGGGGATGGTTGGCTGGGGCGATTGGAATGAGGGTTTTGGGGGAGATGATGGGGATGGGGCACGGGGAGGATGGTAGGAGGAAAGGTGGGAAGGATGGGGAGATGGATACTTGGGGGGGTAGAGGAAAGAAGGAGGAGGACGAGGGGGGAGAGGGTGAGATGGAGGAGGGAGAGGAGATGGAGGAAGGGGATGGGGGGATGGAGGAGGGGGAGGGGGGGATGGAGATGGATGGTGAGGAGTGGGAGTCCATAGGGAAGAGGGAGAGGATGGGGAGGAAGTAGAGGAGGAGAGGGAAGAGGGAGAAGTAGGGGAGGAAGTGGGGAAAAGGTTAGAGGGAGAGGAAGGGGAGGAAATGGAGGATAGGGAAGAGGGAGAAGAAGGGGAGGAAGTGGAGGATAGGGAAGAGGGAGAAGAAGGGGCGGAAGGGGAGGTAAGAGGGAGAACAAGAGAGGGAGGGGAAGGAGAGGGAAGAGGGAGAAGAAGAAGAGAGTGAAGGAGGAGAAGAAGGTGAGGACCGGGACAAGGATTTAAAGGAGAGGAAGGCTGGGGAAGAGACAGGGCCGTTACCGGTAAGTGTTGCAGGTGGAGAGCAGGCCCTATTTTATCAGGATAAAAGTTCCTGATTACACTGATTTCAGTATCCGTGAAGGGGTGCAGGACTGAAAGAACAATTTTATATGAGATATAGCCCTGATCAATCATTTTTTTTAAGCATAAGCCCCCTGAGATTTCTGGATTGTAGTGTACCAGCAACACTGATCCGTCAGTGCCGGATCAGTGCCCTGTTAAAAATCACACTGAAATGTGTTGTATTGGAAAATAAAATTTTCTGGGGCTAACTGTAATGAATATAGATATTCATTACTGGGTCTGCTCCTAAGGTGTACAGCCCCGAGAGCTTCGCGTCAATTTTGGGTTCGGCCTACACTTCGGCCCGAACCACTGCCGGGTCGTCCCGCACCAATCGCGACATTTCCGAGCCATACGCACCACGAGGTTCTCACCTAGCACGTATTCGCCCTGTAAATGCTCGATCTCTTCATTGTTTCGTCATTCTGTAATTCATCCTTTTTATAAAGTCTTCCGCGCACTCTGTTTAGGACAACTCATAACACTTGGTATCAGAGCTACTGTCCTAGCTCACCCAGCTTTTTAGAGTGTAATACCCTTCGGGGGGAGAGAGGGGGGGGTGGGGGGGGGACAGGGAAGGATGCCGTGGGGTCCAGGAGCAGCGCGCAAGCCGGCCAAGAGAACGGTAGATGCTCCTAGCGGCCTGAATTTTACAGGCGCTCCTTCGACACCGACGGATCCTTAACCTCGACGATCGAGATGGACCGTGGCCTCCCTCCCCACTGGTGGCGAACAGCTTTTGTTGTCGTCGCAATAATTGCGTGAGTTAACAATGTTCGTTTTCGTCAATTTCGGAGTTACTTTTGTGTAGCTGCTGACGTCAGCAGGGTCGTCATCGGCGCACGTCCCGAAATTGTCGAGAGCAAGCGTGGTGGGAGTTGGCGTCGGCGTGTGGTCCTCAACCACGCACGAGATTTTCAGAGCGAACTGCATGCAGCACGTGGTGTCAGTCTTCTCATCACGTTGCGCATGAGTCCGTTGGACGTCTTCGGCAAGTGACGTGTGTCGTCACTGTGCGCGAAAATTTCGGGTAGCAGCACGTGGAAAACGACTGCTCGTCGAGCAAGCCAGGCGGATGGTGATTTGCGTCAGGAAAACCAACGGCGAGGAGAGGCAGCGTGACGACTGCCCGAAGAAAGTGGGGGGTGGGGGTCTAGCGTCATCCTGCCCGGGTGTAGCGTTGTTCTGCAGGAGGGTGAGTCATGGGCGTTTTTCAGCAGGAGCGGCACAGTGTGAGACGGAACATATTTTCATACCACCAAAAAGATCAGAAAAGGCCGCCTACGACTAGACTGTTCCAGTTAGGTTCACTTCTACGCCTGCAACAAAAGTCGGCAAAGATTTCGGAGCAACAGCAGCAGCTGGCACTGTACTTCATGCAGCATAAGTTCCCCTTGATCAAGGGAAGTTGCGCCGCAGACAGGGCAGTACACCGACGGGACAACGGTTTCGCGCAATGTCTAGACCCACAATTTTTGGGGAATCTACCGGCTACAATATACGGAGTTGCGGGAAAAGCAGGTCTGGCGAGAGAAACGGATTCGTGGTTCAGGAGGCGAGAAAACGACCTACGGGGAAGACTTTTTGTTGAGTCTGATTTTCGCGGCTACGCGGCGGTAGCAGATTGAGCTCCCTACCGGCCAAAGTCTTACAACGTTTCACATACCCCACACCATGTAGCTTCGAAGGGCGGCCTAAAAGTCGACAGTCCCTGTTGGCACTAGACGAATAAAGTGGGGCCCTGTGTTCAGCCCAGTGCTGGTTAAAAAGCGCGGGTATTGCGCTGGTTTGACAGCTGGGTGTACAAGAAATTTTCAAGGATGCAACACTGTTTCGGCCTCGACAAAACCGAACCATCGGCAACAGTTACCATGCCGAAAACGTCGGAGCTGAAGAAGTTGGTGCAATTGTCAGAGTTTCTCCTAATTCAACGATCTACCCGACGGCGGTGTAGCGGCGAAGATGGAGTTCCCGAAGCTGTGGAGTTTTATGTTAGAGTAGGTTGATAGGGATGTCTCACTATCGAGAAAAATTGGTACATGAAGAAAGCCCTAAGGGGTTGTACCCCACAGTAACTACCCCACTACGGCCTACCAAGAACTACAACATATATATATGTTTGACACACCCCCATAGGCAAAGTGGGGGAGAGCAAGAGGTCACAAGACCAGTCAAGGAAAGCAAAACAAGCTCAGGGTGGATCACAACGTCACCACACAAACTGAGCACAAGCAAAGGGCCACAAGGCCAGTTCACACGCAGAGGTATATATGCAACAACAACAGCACCGTGATCTCTACCTAGCAGGAACAAGCATGCAGGTATATATATACATATATATCACAGTACAAGCAAAGCCTATAGCAAGTGAGGAAACGTAGGCACAAGGCCCAACAACGTACAAAAGCGCTGATGATCACCAGGCGGAAGTGCCATGGTGAATATATCAGCAGTGTTGGCCCGAGTGGCCACGTGAGCAAGACGAAGCTGACCACGCAGCTGCAACTCTCGAGCCAGGAACTAACGCAGAGCGATGTGCTTCGTTCTGTGCTCCAATCTGTGCTCCTGACACAAGGCAATGGCGGCCTTGTTGTCGACGTACAGTACTGGAGGAGAATGAGGCCGCTCTCCCAGGTCGGTCAGCAGGTAGATGAACCAGCGTAACTCCTGTGCAGCCATGGCTGTGGCGTAGATCTCAGCCTCACAACTGGAGCTGAGAACAGAAGACGAGCGTGTAGAACGCCAAGAAACTGAACCAGAGCCAAGGCTGAAGGTGTAACCCTGTGACGACCGCTGCGTAGCCTGGTCGTCAACCCAAGAAGCGTCCGAGTGACCAGTGAGGACAACGTCGCCCCGTCCTCCAAGCATGAGCCCAATGCCCGATGTACTGCACAAGTAGCGCAGTACCCTCTTAGCAGCATCCATATGCACCATGTGTGACTGAGTCAGTGTGATGGTGCGATGTGCTCTGTCCGGGTGATCTGCAAGCCAAGGTAACTGCGCAGCTCACCCAGGTCTGTGCACGTGTGTCTCTTCTGCAGCTCCGACTTCACCAGGGCGAGAGCCTCAGTGTCAGCAGTGGAAAAGACCAAGTCGTCGACGTACACGAGGATGTAGAACGGCGGCAGCGAAGTGTCGGTGCGCAGAAACAGCGACGGGTCAGCAGTCGACAGAGTAAACCCAAGAGCCGCAAGTGTCGTCCTCAGTGTGTCGTGCCACTCACGTGGCGCCTGGCGGAGACCGTAGACCGGCCGCCGGAGGCTCCACTGGGTACCAGGAGGGAACGACCCAGTGAAGCCAGGCGGGCGGCGCAGCCAGATCTCCTCGTGCAGGCTGCCCTGTAAGAAAGCTGTGCTGAAGTCAAGAGAGTGAAGCTCGTAGTCACGCTGAGCGGCAACGTGCAGCAGCACCCGAAGAGTGGTCATCTTCGGGGTCGGGGAGAAGGTATGAAAGAAGTCAACTCCCTCTCGCTGACTGAAGCCTCGAGCAACGTAACGAGCCTTGAAGACAGGCGGAGAACCTGGCGGCCGCTTCACCCTGAAAATCCACATGCCACTGACGATGTTCGCCCCAGGAGGGGGAACCTCGTCGACGTATGTGCCTGTGGACTTCCAGGATGCCATCTCTGCGTCCATGGTTGTCTGCCACTGAGAGGAGTACTCACCCGCGATCGCCTCAGCGTAAGAGCGCGGGGTCGGGATGTCTGGAGCATCCGGGTCTTCCTCAGGGGCAAGCAGCATGGACACGAGATGAGGCGCAGCGGCTGCAAGACACTCAAGGTCCTCCTGCCTGTCCTCAAGGACGTCCGTGCTAAGAGCACACTCACCCCCGACGGACGGAGGACAGACAGACTCAGACTCAGCAACAAGACTAGCAGCATAGTCTAGACGACAGGCAGCAGCAAAGTCAACAAGCTCAGCGACTAAGGCAGACGCAGCAGCAAACTCAAACGACGGGTCAGTGACAACTGTGGCTAGCAGACGCGTGATAGTGGGGTGAGCAGCACGGGTGTGGTCAGATTGAGGCTCAGGAACGGTAGGCAGAGAAGACGCAGGAGGGGACGGCAGGGGAACACGCTGCGGAGGAGAGGAAGGACGACGGACGACGAGGTGGGTGCCGGAGACAGCCGGCTGACGCAAACGAGGGACACGACAACCGGAACGACCAGAACGGACAGGCGAGACAGGACGTGACGCAGGCGCACGACGCTCAGTAAGACCCCCTGTCTGCTCAGTGTAAGGGGAAGGAGCAGGCAGCGGTGAGCCAGGCTGTAACGGAAGACCAGTAGACGAAGGGAGACTAAGAACCTGGCGAAGCACTGAGTCAGGCGGTAGCTGGGACGACAGAGACGGAGGAGCAAAGAACAGGCGCGGTTGTGGAGTGTCACCAGCACCAGCAGCTCCAGTACCCCCAGCAGCTCCAGCACCTCCAGCAGCTCCAGAACCCTCAGCGCCAGCTCCTCCAGGACCAGCTCCACCAGCAGCAGCACCCCCAGAACCGGCACCTCCAGTCCCAGGGTCTCCAGCCTCAGTGTCTCCAGCAGCAGCACCCCTAGACCCAGTGTCTCCAGCAGCAACACCCTCAGGCTCAGCACCTCCAGCCCCAGCAGCTCCAGTACCCCCAATACGAGCACCTCCGGGACCAGGACCACTCCCAGCTCAAGTGACGTCAGCAGAAGTACCTCCAGCGGCAGAGCCCCGAGCTCCAGAAGCGCGACCCTGACGGCGACCGTACCAGTCGTGCAGCTGCTGTGAGGTGAGAGGCATACGCGGACGAAGGCGGCTACTCCAAGGAGACCGCGCAACAGCAGACTCAGAACCCCCAGCGCCAGCACCCTCAGCAGCTCCAGAACCTCCAGCTCCA